CTGCTATAGCTCCCTTTAGCCCCCAAATGCAGACCTTAAAACCCAGCTGGCTATCTTGGATCACACTGAGACTGCTGGTAAAACTTCATCAACGCCACAGCACTCCAAACCTGCTGGATACAAGATCAGTTTACGACACATTTTCCTGAGTTTTATCATCCTGAAGACAGGTGGAGGTTGACAGTGAAAGCACTGCAGTGGCATTGCGTCATGGAGAGGAAAATAAATAAATAAAACCAGACACAACTTTTCAACAACCAAAGCATTGAAAACACTGAGGGGAGATAGGGGCTCTAAAATCTGATGCAACACCTTTTCATCTTATAAGACTGAACATGTTAAACCCAAATGTCAGGAGAGATTTGTAGCAGATCTAATGCTGGATTGACCCTCGACTTTAGATCAATTTTGGCTTTGTAGAATCCATCAGTATGAATTACACACACACACACACACACACTTGTGTGTTGTGTTTCCGTCAGTTCAAAGTTTGTTACATTGTCTTGCATTAACATCTTGGAAGTTTACAATAACCTGAAACATAGCCGTCACCATTACCATTCGATAGTGTGTGTGTGTGTGTGTGTGTGTGTGTGTGTGTGTGTGTGTGTGTGTGTGGATGTGTGTGTCTAACAAAGTATTTCATTATGTGCCGAACCCCTTATTCTCTAGTGTGTCTGGCCGAATGTCTCAGTGGTGTTTTGGTATTCAAAAGAGGGTCTTTGTCAGGTAGCTCCATCTTCTTCAAGGGCACCAGCTGCTCCACAGAAAGGCCATGAGAAATTTCTTCTTTATTGTGAAGTAGGCAGTCTCCAAGGAAAATGGAGCAGGAGACAGTCAAAGCTGGCACCTGCTTAAAAGATGACCACAATGCAAGACCAGCAACCTGTTTCTGCTTCCAGGGTCTCGATCCTCAAAGCATCTAGTTTATTGGTGATGCACACACAGTCTCCTTTTACGCTGCCAAATTGACTTCCTGGCCACAGCACTCCTGATGGAAATAGCAACAAAATAGGGATGGTGTTGGTGTAAATCACAAGCCTGTTAACCAGTTAACCACAGTTCATGCCCCATTGGTGGGGTTGTATTTTGCACTAAAATGGACAGAAGTCTGTGAAATGCACTGCATTACACACTTTCAAACTTTCCTTATAATATATACCAGCACACCCTCCTAATTTAAGTTGCAAAATATTTCATTTGTCTCCCTGTATCACTGCCTGCTGTTTTGAAGCCTCCACTACCACAGAAGTTACCTGCACAAATATCCCCTGGGAGGGTATATTTATTCATCACTCCCCATCTTTGATATATAATAAACCTGGAGCCCAGACAGCACACCTGACCCTGTAATGAATCATTTTCAACATGAGCAGTCTGACTTAATTAAGTTGAGGGTTAGGAATTTTATGACCTGAGAATAATAGATAAGTAGATAAATAGATATTATTAATATGTTGCATAAATCTGTTTGTTTTAAAAAAGATTTTTCTTTAAAAAGTTAAAAATGAATCCTCATTTGATCATGCAAGAGGAAATTATTATGAATCAGGTCGGCACAGCCAGGTTTAGAATGTGACTTAGAGCTCTCCAACTGATCAATCAGTGCACTCTGATATTTAAATGACATTTTAACATGAAGTGCTTCAGCTGGAATGAAAACATTGCGAAATGGCTTCAAAAATATTCTTTGTGTAGTTGTGAAGAGGCAGAGAAGTTGTTTAGAAGACGGCCTTGTTGGTTTAGCTGGCTAAATGCCATTTGACAGGTGTTTTGAATGCAATTTTTACCACACCTCAAATATTCTGAATAAGCTGTATTGCTTTTCTTTGTGCTTTTCTTCTCTCCATTTTTTTTTCATTGTGCTTCCACCTTTGCTTCTTCTTTTTCTTTTCTTTTTCTTTTTTACATTTCCTCTACACATCTAATCTATTCAACACCTTCTTTCTTTTCTATTTGACCAGGTGGACTTTGCCTTCACTGTGTGGCAAAGTTTTCCCGAGCGTATTGTTGGTTATCCAGCAAGGAGCCACTACTGGGATAGTTCCAGATCACGCTGGGGCTACACTTCCAAGTGGACCAATGAGTACTCCATGGTCCTTACAGGAGCAGCTTTTTACCACAGGTACAAACCCACAGGATTTCTTGCTTATCGGTGAAGTTGTATTGACGTGAATGGCAGAAGAGTGGCACAGAAAGATGGCACATGGCATCGTCTGTGATGCAGACAGTGTGCCAGTGCATGAAGGTGACATTATCAACTTATTAGTCAGCATGCCTTCTCGCCCTCACCTGTAGCTACAAGCATTATGTCGTGATTTAATGAGTAAGATTACAGATGAAAGCGGCAGAAATAACCTCTCAGAACAGTCTCTGGGTTTTCTCTTAGATAGGGTTCGAACCTCAGCCGTTTGGGAGGAGTAGAGGCACTGCTCCTGTGGATTAAAATAAAAATGTTTCTTGAGCTTATTTAAGAGAGGCTGTAATTGTATTCTTGCTACCACTGGATAGCTGCAAGTTGTGTTAAGAAGTCTTGAATTCTACTCCCCAAAAAATCCCCCAAAATCTCAAAGATTCTAGTTTTAGAATTAGAGTTTTGGTCTTATTATAGGCCATGTATATAAAGGCTAACAACACCCTTCAGTACATGGTGAACTTATTATTGCCTCCAATCATGGTTTGTACCTAGGACATATAGGCCCTGACATGGAATAATTACATTCCTATAGGATAAATGCCCTGCAGCACAAATAGTTTCTGCAGATCTTTGGATCAAGATAAGTAAATAATTAAGTAATTTGCTTTTTTCTGCATTTCAAAATTTTAGAGCCTGTAGCCGTGAAGTGTTGATGTCATACTCCTGTTTTTGTGTTTGTTATGGTTTACATTCTAGTTCTGTACTGGTATCTCTAGAGTTCAGTCTTCCTTAGTCTCATCTCTTTGACTTTCAGCCTTCACAGTCATGTACCCATGTCTGTCTGTTTTCTCCCCAGTCCCTGTGTCAAGCCCATGTGTCTTAGTGTTGGTCACAGTGTTTTATGGTCTTCTGTTTTCATGTGTATTATGTTCAGTTTTGCTTCCCCTGTCTCGTCGGTCAGTTTAGTGTCAGCTGTGTTATCCTCCTTGTCTTATTGTCTGTGTTCTCCTCTGTTCTCTGTTGTGTTTTCCCTCATTGTAGGTAGTGGTTCTGTCTGTCTGGATGGTTTTTGCCTTTTGTTTTTGTTGCCCAATGCTTAGATGTTTAGTTCAGTTCTGTGTTGTGGTCTTTGGGTCCACAACTCTGCCGGCCTCACACCTACACCTGTGGATATGACAGAAGAATGGGACCAAATAATGGACCAAGCAGACTCAGCCCTGAAAGAATGTGGGCTGGCTCTAACACGGATGAACAGTCTTTTGATTCACATCTCCTAAGTCATGGGCATAAGGATGAAATTCGTTGGACTTAACACCACTGATGCGATTATCCAGAGGAACCCTCTGCTCCTCCAGCTTCCCCGGTCTCCGGAGATGGTCTGTGCTCTCACCGAGGCTAAAGAAGAACTGCAAAAACTGCTCTCTTCATGCTTTCCTCCTCCTGTTGTCACGTCAGCAGCACTTGAATACCTCCTCATCCTTCAACAGCTGACAAATTCCTACTCGACGCTGACTGGAATGATAACTGCAAAACTCTGTGGCCATTTGCTAGGTGCTCAGCCAAGCAGCGGCCGTCTCCTGCATCTGCTGGGTGCTAGGCCAAGCAGCGCCATCTAGAGCATAGAGCCTGCTGCGTACTCCCAGCCTGAGCAACCAGAGCGCGCTGTGTGCAATGCGGGGCCCCAGTCCTCATCAGAAGTCTCTGCACCGTCTGGGCCCGAGGCTTCCACACCATGGCAGTATATGGCTCGCCACTGACGCTGGCCACCTGCCAAGCTGCTTTAGGGGTCTACATCTCCATTGTTCCTAGCCTCCAGTCCTGTCGGCCCAGGGTCTCCGCCCACCACACCATCGCCAGACTCCAGTCCTATTGCAGTGGGTCTCTGCCACCATCACCTCCAGACCTTCATCGTCTCCACTGCCAGCCTCAGCCACTGAGTTTTGCCATGAGGTCTGGTTGACCCCCTGAACTGTGTTTTGTCTTTTGGAATCTTAGTCTCAGTGTTTGTACTTCCTGTTTTATTTTGATAGTCTTCTGTTTATATATATGTATTATGTTCACTGTTCTGTTCTCTGTTGCGCTCTCCCTCATCGTAGGTGGTGGTTCTGTCTGTGTTTCCTCTCATGATTGAGTCAGTTTATTTTTATGGTTGTGACTGTTCAGTTGGGTTTTTTACCTTTTGTTTTTGTTGCCTGTTTTTCCAGCATTAAAGCTGTGTTTTTTAGTTCAGTTCTGTGTTAATAATAATAATAATAATAATACATTTTATTTGAGGGCGCCTTTCAGAAACCCAAGGTCACCTTACAAAAAACACAATTAATAAAAGGAACAATAGTCATAAAATACATAAAATAAGTTAAAATTACAAAACAGAGCGTGACAACAGATAAAATCAGCATTAAAGCGAATAAGCCAGTTTAAACAGATGTGTTTTGAGCTGTGTCTTAAATACGGAGAGGGAGTCAATATTTCTTAGTGCAGGAGGAAGAGAGTTCCAGAGCCGAGGAGCAGAGCGACTGAAAGCTCTGTTCCCCATAGTGATAAGGTGTGATGACGGAACAGTAAGATGAATAGCAGATGATGATCTGAGAGTGCGGGAAACAGTGGTGATATGGAGCAGGTCACACAAATATGAAGGAGCAGATTTATGGATACACTTGTATGCAAGAAGTAAGATTTTAAAATTTATCCTGGCTTCTATGGGCAACCAGTGAAGCTGCTGAAGAACTGGGGTAATATGAGCACTTAACGGAGTGCAAGTTATGACCCGAGCTGCAGAATTTTGAAGAAGTTGGAGTTTATGAAGGGACCTTTTAGGGAGACCAAATAGGAGGGAATTACAGTAATCAATACGGGATGTAATAAGACTATGGACAAGGATGGCAGCAGCATGGGGAGTAAGGAAGGGACGGAGTCGGTGAATATTACGTAAATGGAAGTAAGCAGACCGTGTTATGTAATTAATGTGAGACTGGAATGAAAGAGTATTATCAAGTATGACACCCAAACTCTTAACCTGAGGGGAGGGAAGGGTGGGAGAATGTTGCCAAGTCCTGCGTTTTTTGGGTCCACAACTCTGCCTGCCACACACCTACACCTGCGGATATGACAGTTGACTTGTTTTTCTTCTTGTGTTGTGCTGCAAAGGACCTTCATATTTTAGAGTATATATAAAAAAAATCATATAGAGGATGCACCAAGAAAACTTGGAGATATGACTCATGATTTTCTTTTAAAGTTCACACACACACAACTCTACCTACTTGTCTGTTCAAAGAAAAAACCTTTAAAGCTATTGCTGAGACTTGCCCCAGCATTTTTAGAGAGGTTATATTTATATCTTAAGTTTGGATGACTCATGTAATGATCGTTAAACAAAATATATATAAAATGTTTAAAAAAAAAGCATTTTTAAATATTTTTTTATTAGTCAGTATTGTCTATGCACATAGCCACTGTAAATTTAATGCTGCTATATTTTATGTTAGCAGTGGTGCTAATGTATAAGCACTCATTAAAAGCAATTACGTAAAGACATAAACTGCAGTCCAGCTTCTCTTTTAGTGCTGCAGTCAGTTTGTCTCATGGTGCAGATGTTCTGCATATCATTCCACCAGCTTCCCAGAAATACTTATCCCGTCTCTAAGATGCAAACCACATTAAAATTCATCTTTAGGAAAAGGGATAATATAATCTTTCTCCACCTCTGTTATATCATGAAACAATTGTCAAAAATGCAATGCTAGGGCTAAAATAAAAAATGGTAAACTCAAGTATTAAGCAGAGCGGTAAATTGAATGGAGAAGAGTGATGCTCTCCAAAGGGATTAAAGGCATCTTGTCATGCAGATAAACAGCTCTCTTGTTGTTCTATTGTTAGGATGCTCAATGCACCTCTTCAGTTATTTTTGTTATTTAGACTGTCAAATGGAAATGTAAGGTAGAAAAAAATGTGCCAGAAGGAACATTGTAAAGTGTGTGTGTGTGTGTGTATGCATTTGTGTGTAAGAGCGAGGGGCGGGAGACCTTGTCAGGGAGGTAACCACTGACAGTGATCTAGTGCTCCCATGCTGCTGAGAGTGCAACACTGCAACCAAATAGAACAGAATTGTGGCTTTTAAAATGAAAAATACACCCACATCCTAATCCCTAATCTGCCCTTTTCCTTTATGCATCAGATACTATCACTACTTGTTCACTCACTACATACCGGCTAGCCTGCTGACAATGGTGGACCGCATGGCTAATTGTGAAGACATCCTGATGAACTTCCTCGTTTCGGCCGTGACCAAGCAACCTCCAATCAAAGTCACACAGAAGAAGCAGTACAAGGAAACTATGATGACCCAGGTTGGACAGAGTTTTACTTTTATCGATACACTTAGACTGTATACTTGTTAACTGTCTCCTATAGAATGTATCTGCCTCCGTCTCTGCCACAGACAGGCTCAGATTTTTACTCTGCGTATCTATAGCTGTTTTGACATTATCCTGTCTTGCTTTTAGGGCCACAGAGGCCAAGTCAAAAAATTACCCCTACTATGTCTAAATTTGTCCAGTGTTCTCAGAGACTCAGTCCTCAGTTAAAGTAGTCATCACAAGTACAATAGTGTGCAATGTTCAGTCTACAGACAGGTGTTTATTCCGCAACCTTATCATGTCCTTTCCCACAATGGTAGTCTGTAAAAGCTTTATGAAGTGTGGCATATTACTTTGCAGATGCAATACAAAAACTCTGAATCATTGTTTGGCATTCTTAAGGTTAAAGAAAGTGAGACTGAATTCTTTACTCCAGTTCTGTAATATGTACCAGCTCCTTACTAGCTGGCTCTCTCCAACTCACATTCATATCACTACTCAACCTCTTTGAGATTTCTGTTCGTGGTTAGTGGTTGCTGGGGATTCCTGGTTGTCTTTGAAATTAATTGCTAAAGCCCCAGTCACACAGGCCTACACACATACCCCTTGCAAACATCAAAAAGTGTGAGTGGTTAGTGAGTGGTTGAGAGCAGTTGCGGGCATTTAGTGTGCTACACCAAAAACCTCCTTGTGATTGCATACTGTACGGACAAATGTTTGTGCATGTTGGAGGTACATCCCAATCCCACTGTTGTGATTGTGTTGCAATCATTACTGGAAAAAATTAATTATTACACATATTACAAAGAGCACTTCTCTTAAAATCAATGCAGCGTATTTTTATTAATCCCAGGACAAAATAATTAATTACACAAATGATTACATTACTTTTGTGTTTCTCTATAAAAAATTATCTGAGATTTAACAATATCAACACACCAACACAAATCCTTATCCTGTTGAGGAGAAACATATTTTCTTTATCTTAGTGTTTAGGTATTGTTGAGACTAGTAGTTAAACATATGCCATTTTATGACCAGTAGTCAATGTAGTAAATTAGGTTAACAGCTGTAGGTCATATATTATCCTTTAGTTCTGATGGTGTGCTATGTATGTAGTTTAGTCTTTATTATACTCTTGAATAAAAGAAACATAATCATTTTGTAGTTCATTAGATAAACACAAAGCTGACAACACAAAATAAAGAAAATTAAATTCATGAATGAATGAAATTCATGAAAACCAGCAGCCTGACTGCGCATCCATTTGTTACCTGCTGAAGTTCAAGATCTAGTAGCTGACCTGGGGTCGGCATTCGCTCAGCTTTAACATCACTCGGTGTCCTTGCCTTGGTTAGCTTTAGCATTCTGTCTGTTCAGATACTAGCAAAGAGCCAAAGTTGTTTTAGCAGCACAATGCAGATATTTCTGTTCAGACTTTGCGATCATATTCTCATTCATTTCTGCTCAGAAAGCCCAAGAAGAAAGAAACAAAACAAATCCTGGTTTTCCTCACTTTTTCCGACACACGAGGTCTGAAGTACCTGGAACATTTTTACAGGTGTTTGCAGACAAGTCGGTGTATCCTATGTAAACTACAGTCAACCATAGTAACCTGCTAACAACCAGAGTAATCACAAGGACCTTTTGGTGCAGCACCCTCTTTGGGACGTATGTCAACCAGCAACAGCATGCAACCTGCAGCAACCACTCATAGACCAGTCTCCAGTCCTGTGTGATTGGGGCCCTCAACAGCCATCTGAGCCTTTCAGTAGAAAAATAACTTTGAGGCGAAAAAATGTGCAAGGGAATTTGAGTAGTGCTTTATCACATTCCATTTCAACATGGAATGAATCACTTACAAATGTTATTTGGACAATAAAAAGGGAAGAAAACTTTGTCCAAGGTTTAAAAATGCTGGAAGGAGGGTTGGTGTTCAAGAGCTAAGAAAGAAACCCCGTCATCCCACAACCTGATTAAAAAAACTAGTTATATATAGTCCAACTATCCATCATTTCTTTGTAGACATTGTATAAATAGTCACTTGTGCCTTACATACATGTTTAAGTTTTCATGGTTACATTCAATGAATTTGCAGTTATCCAAAGCTGAAGTGCCTTCCAAGCTTCCCCCTGTTAAAGTCCCCTTTTGGGATAATTTCAGTGTTTGTTAACAAAGTCCAAAATGTATTTCATTCCCCATAAAACATTTGCAAATGCTTCTGTTTGGAGTACTTTAGCTCTATTAGCACTGTTGCATTAATTGCATTGCATTAATGTGCAAGCAGGGCATGAGAAAAACCAAATGGAGGCTTCTTTTAATTCATTGCTCATGACATTGTTGGTCCATCAAAACATTATATACAGTTGCAACACAGTTTAAAGATGATAAAAGTGCTGTGTGTTTATAGACCTCTTTTTAAGGAAAGAAGAAGATAATAAGAGTATTAAAAGAGAAATAGTAGAAAAGTTTCAGGCCACATACAGCCCTGACCTTCTCTTTGGGAGATCCCTGTATGTGCATGTGTTTGTGTGAGTGTGTGTGTTCATGGGGCCAGCCCTTTGTCAGGTTCTGATTGATGGTCTGACCACAGGCAGGACGATGACTCAGCAGTATGGACGTAGTGATTAATGTCTTAATTGTGAAAGCAGCACGACAAACCTAGATTTACTCCCCCCTTTACCCCTCCTTTCCTCACTCGCTCTCTCATTCTTTCTTTTTTTCCTGTGTGCACCCCCACCTCCTCAATCTCACCCATGATTTGTGACTTCGCTTCAAGCAACAGCAGATAGACATTTAACATGGCGTAAGAGGAAAGAGCTGACATCTTGTGGGATACCTGGACCAGAATGTTAAATGAATTAACATTTTTAAGCTGTTTTATTCTACAAGTCATATTGTATTTTAGGCCCAGATCACTTCTGTCACTGGATATTCTTTAGCAGTTCAAAATTTTCTATCTGAAGATAAGTTTCCTCCAGCTTTTACAACCCCTCTCAAAGGGCTCTACTAACCCTACAACTGCACTTTCTCGGGTTCATCTGTAGCAGCAACCGGGATGCTCACAACTTGTTGTCTGCAAGTACACATTGTTTGCTGGCATTTCAAAATTCTACTGTTAGGCTACAGTGGGGCAAAAAAGTATTTAGTCAGCCACCGATTGTGCAAGTTCCCCCACCTAAAATGATGACAGAGGTCAGTAATTTGCACCAGAGGTACACTTCAACTGTGAGAGACAGAATGTGAAAAAAAATCCATGAATCCACATGGTAGGATTTGTAAAGAATTTATTCGTAAATCAGGGTGGAAAATAAGTATTTGGTCAATAACAAAAATACAACTCAATACTTTGTAACATAACCTTTGTTGGCAATAACAGAGGTCAAACGTTTACTATAGGTCTTTACCAGGTTTGCACACACAGTAGCTGGTATTTTGGCCCATTCCTCCATGCAGATCTTCTCGAGAGCAGTGATGTTTTGGGGCTGTCGCCGAGCAACACGGACTTTCAACTCCCGCCACAGATTTTCTATGGGGTTGAGGTCTGGAGACTGGCTAGGCCACTCCAGGACTTTCAAATGCTTCTTACGGAGCCACTCCTTTGTTGCCCGGGCGGTGTGTTTTGGATCATTGTCATGTTGGAAGACCCAGCCTCGTTTCATCTTCAAAGTTCTCACTGATGGAAGGAGGTTTTGGCTCAAAATCTCACGATACATGGCCCCATTCATTCTGTCCTTAACACGGATCAGTCGTCCTGTCCCCTTGGCAGAAAAACAGCCCCATAGCATGATGTTTCCACCCCCATGCTTCACAGTAGGTATGGTGTTCTTGGGATGCAACTCAGTATTCTTCTTCCTCCAAACACGACGAGTTGAGTTTATACCAAAAAGTTCTACTTTGGTTTCATCTGACCACATGACATTCTCCCAATCCTCTGCTGTATCATCCATGTGCTCTCTGGCAAACTTCAGACGGGCCTGGACATGCACTGGCTTCAGCAGCGGAACACGTCTGGCACTGCGGGATTTGATTCCCTGCCGTTGTAGTGTGTTACTGATGGTGACCTTTGTTACTTTGGTCCCAGCTCTCTGCAGGTCATTCACCAGGTCCCCCCGTGTGGTTCTGGGATCTTTGCTCACCGTTCTCATGATCATTTTGACCCCACGGGATGAGATCTTGCGTGGAGCCCCAGATCGAGGGAGATTATCAGTGGTCTTGTATGTCTTCCATTTTCTGATGATTGCTCCCACAGTTGATTTTTTCACACCAAGCTGCTTGCCTATTGTAGATTCACTCTTCCCAGTCTGGTGCAGGTCTACAATACTTTTCCTGGTGTCCTTCGAAAGCTCTTTGGTCTTGGCCATGGCGGAGTTTGGAGTCTGACTGTTTGAGGCTGTGGACAGGTGTCTTTTATACAGATGATGAGTTCAAACAGGTGCCATTCATACAGGTAACGAGTGGGGGACAGAAAAGCTTCTTACAGAAGACGTTACAGGTCTGTGAGAGCCAGAGATTTTCCTTGTTTGAGGTGACCAAATACTTATTTTCCACCCTGATTTACAATAAATTCTTTACAAATCCTACCATGTGGATTCATGGATTTTTTTTCACATTCTGTCTCTCACAGTTGAAGTGTACCTCTGGTGCAAATTACTGACCTCTGTCATCATTTTAAGTGGGGGAACTTGCACAATCGGTGGCTGACTAAATACTTTTTTGCCCCACTGTATGTACTTGGTCAAACAGATGCTCCCTTATCACCTCACTACGAATGTCCCTTCACTAGCTTCCTGTCACATTTAGGTCCCAGTTTAAAATTCTCACTGTGACTATAAAAAGTTATTTGTAGGTCAGATTTCTGCTACAATCTAAAAAACAATCTAAAATGACTGTTTGTTCACCTTTTTCTGCATTAACTGTTTGTTAAGTATTGCACTGTGTGACTGATCAGCAGTAAATTGCCACACTTCCTGCTGGTGGGGTGGAGATTACCTCAGGGATCGGCACTGAACCCCTTTTTTATGCATTGGCGATTAACAGGTTGACAGATGAGGTCATGCAGAGGTCTCCATTAAATATGATGTTTGCAGACGACATTGCATTCTTTTGTGTGAGCAGTGAGTACATGGGCAGAGCCTAGAGAGTTGGAGGTATGCTCTGGATAGAAGAGGAATGAAAGTCAGGAAAAGCAAGACACAACACAAGGCGTAAAAGTAAATATCTAAGGAGTAGAGTTAGTGAAGGTGGATGAACCACTGGGGTCAGCCATTCAAAGCAACGGATAGTGCAAATGAGAGGTGAAGAAGAAAGTGGAGGCAGGTAGGAGTGGGTGGAAACGAGCCTCAGGACAGAAGGATATCAGCAGAAAATGAAGGGGAAGCCTCAGGACGTTAATTTTGTTCATCTAGATATAGCGTTTTTAGGTGGAGAAACCTTTTGTCTCATGCAAGTGATCTGTTCAGTTACGGAGGGACAAGGCTGACTGAAGAAGTCATTTGGATAAGTTTCAAAACATGGCTCCCACTGAAATATAAAGTAACCCACCTTTAATCAGTGAAACATCAAGTTATGCAAATCTTTTTTTCATTTGGAGTTCAATAATGACACAATACATGTATTACTTTAAATTCTGGTAGGACAAAGTGTTGCACAAAGCCACTCTCACCCTCCTACACACACACTCACAAACTCACACACACTACCTGTGTAACTACTACCACAGAAACAATCACAGATTTTAGAGACCTAAAGTGAAAGTAGAACATCTAGGAAAGAAAACCCAAATTAAAATCCATTTGACGGATTTGTTGCAGTGATGAAAGTTTAAAAATCCAACTTCGGAACAGAGCCTTTCTGAACAATACATCATGTGGCTCTTATCTATGGCTCAATAAGGACAAAAGCTTGCCACAAGTTAAATGTCACAGCTTGATGAAAGAGGGAAATTTGTAGGCAAGTCAATGGGGCTTGGATAGTATAGACAGGCCTGCACAGCTGGAAAGAAAAAAGTGAAGGTTTCTACATTATAGAGCATTGATTACAGTTTAAAAGATGGAAAAATACTTCAGAGCCTAACAAGCCAATTCCATATTTGCTATGATGACAAAGGTTTCGACTTGTGTCTAACAAGTGGGGTGAAGGATACTGATTTGTCTGCGAATGTTAAACAATATGAATATGCTTCAATGTTTCCAGAAAGATAATTGAAAGAAATACTTTCTGAAAATTGAAAAAGAGACAGACACATAGATGCTGGCTAGGTTGTCTGTGAAATAATAGGTGTCTGCTAACTTTTTGCATCAACACTGGATTAGAAGTTGAGGAGATTGAAACAGGAAACAAAGTGATAATGAAGTTTTTTTTCCCCCAAAGTTTCCAACAAAATGTTTCACCTTTTCCAGCTGTTCCACCAACTCCCTCTATGCCATCTGGCCATCTCTACACAGATTCCCTGCACTAATATATCATTGAAATCCCAGTGAAAATCGACCCACTCATACACTTTGTCTCTAAACCTGTTGGCCCGAGTCAATGTGCGCCTTAGATAAAAGTTTAAAAATGTGTTTTCTTTTTGCTGATTGTGGATTTTTTATTACATTATTGCCTGCTGTAGAGCTGAGGTGATTCATCCCTCCTTCTATTTACTCTAATACAGTCCTATTCTCTCACTCTCTCTCTGTTTTCCCACATGAAGGGCTCCAAAGTGTCATCTCGTTGGGCTGACCCGGACCATTTCGCCCAGCGACAGAGTTGCATGAACGCCTTTAGCCACTGGCTAGGTTTCATGCCCTTAGTGCACTCCCAGATGAGGTTGGACCCAGTGTTGTTCAGAGACCAGGTTTCCATCCTGAGGAAGAAGTACAGGGACATTGAGAGGTTGTGAACACACAAGGACATGACAAATCACAGTAGAGGCTGGAGAGCTGTGTGTGTGTCCTGAATGACTGTTTATGAGGCTATAAAGGAAAATTCACACATGCACTGGACATAAAAGTGATAAAACACTGAGGTATCTGCAAGACCTTTAAATGCAAATTTCTATGGGAAAAAAAAAGCTTCTGTACATGTGGTTGGTTACAGTGAGCAACTGTGCATAGCTGCCATCTGTGACAATACACATAATATGAATGCATGTAGACACATGCAACAAAGACTTGGACACATTCAAGCTGACCACGTGTACGTATGTGTTGCATGGTTTAAACAAGACAAGACTGTGTTTAAAAAAAAAATCAAGTATGTCTACAGTGGAAGTTGACAAACGGCTAAAGAGATTCGAGGTTGTATTCATGAAGTCAGTAATTAAAGAAAAGAGTTTGTGTAGACAAAAACAACAAGCTGTTCTTTCTGGCCACATCACAGCTAATGGCCCCAAAACACCCAGAGACGATGGCAGTGCACCTCTTGTATATTATTGTAGATTTGCAGCAGCAGTTCCTGTCTGTATGAAGCAAATAAAAAATAAAATAAAGAGATGTTATGTTATAAGGCGAGAGGATTTGTCTCAACTCAGTTCAGTTCTTCCATGCATTTTAAGAAAATTGCATCTTTCTTTGACTACACACTCTCCTTGTTACTCTCCTTGCTGTTTTGCCTGCACATCTATAGCAAAGTAAACAATAACGAGAACATTTATTTTCAACAAGGAACTGACTAACTAATAAAGTATGATTAATGCAATCAATAAAGAAATAAGAACATCAAGAAATGTCAACATCTGTCAAATGTTTAGTAGTGATGTATTAACCTCACTATAAAGATTAGATATCAGTTTTCATAAGATTAGCTACAGCTAATGAATCCACAAAAGCTTGTGGGAAGTAAATCTCATCACTTTGCTTTGGCCATAGTAAACAGCAGCAGTGGTAAGGAGTGGGAGGGCAGCAGCTTGGTTCATAAATGCATAGTCTTTTTTACTGTCTCAACCTCAGAATCTACAGACGGCAAATGAGGCAGCAGCTGGTTTTACTGCAAGTCCACCGAATTACATAAAGTATGTAGTGGTGAACTGAAACAGCAATGAAATAAGCATCATCAGCTTTAAAGTGATTATCAAGCCTGGGGTGAATAAAAAGACCTTTATGATACCAGTGAGAAGAATATGCAGTCTGCTCTTTTTAGCTATGTGACGGGGTATAACTTAGTTGGCAGATAACGGCAGCCTGTGGTGTGCGGGCTAGTGGGATTAGTCTTAGCTGAGAGTTGCAACTTGCTGCTGCCAATAAAAAAAGTTTACTTTCAATGTTGCCTGGTAACAGCCGCGACCATAACTGCTCAGTAGCTGCACCTAAAGGCCCATAGTGCAACAAAGTGGGAGACCTTAATGTGGGAATCCTGGTCTAGTGTTGTATGACTCACTGTCTAAACGTAACAACTGCTCTGCTCTGATAAAAAGTCAACCTGTGTACATAAAATCATCATGTTTAAGAAAGCGTAAGAGTAAAATGCTAAAGACATTCTAAAAACTAGTAATAGTAAGTGAATTCATCAAACCCATGTTTTGTGTTGTGTATTTTAACCTGTGCTTTGTCCTCTCTCCCTCCCGTTACCCCTAACCAGTCACTGCAGATGGTCTCCAAGGGGTTCCATCAGTTTAAAGGGAGTTTTTCCTTCTCACTGTCACTAAGCGCTTGTTCAAAGAGGGTAGCTTGATTGTTGGGGTTTTCTCTGTGTTATTGTAGGGTTGTTACCTTACAAAATAAAGAACCTCAAGGTGACTGCTGTTGTGATTTGGTGCTATATAAATTGAATTGAATACAAATAAAGTAATGTTATAGCAGTACAGCAACATACCTTCTAGACTTGTAGTCAAGACCGCCTAATCCAAGACCAAGACAATACCAAGACCAGAGGGTATCGAGACCAAGACAAGACCAAGACAGACCGAGTCCAGACCAAGACAAAGTCGAGACGAGACCGAGACAAAAAAAGTCTTTAAACTGCAGCCAGATGCTGCTTCGTTTACAGGTGTCAGGCATATTTATGTGTTTTTGTGATGCACTCGTACAGCCCTCCTCACCACTGTCTACTGCCTCACTCACTTACTGAGAGGACAGACACACGCTCCACTTGACTGTCGCGTCTCTCACCCTCTCTGTTTTTCACATAATGATATTATCCTATATCCTCGCATGTGATTGACCACAATATGGAGGGATTGAAGCATAGCTGAGCCACTGTGTGAGAGCTGAGCAGCGAAAGGAAATTAGGTGAGGAGCCGGCTCTCGCTCAATGGGAGTTGGCTCTTCTGATTCACTACAAAGCACTCTCTAAGCACGGCTCTTAGAGCTGATGCTTTTGCTCATGACACATTATCGAATGTTACGTTGTGTGCCGTGGATACTGTTGACTCCAAATCTCCCGACCACTATGTCGATCTGAGACAGCAAGACCGAGACAGCGAGACCAAGACAAGACCAAGGGACCCGAGACCATAACAGTTTGCCTACCAGCCTGGCATTGGAGCGGATGATGCCGTCATTCACCTCCTACATTGTTCCCTCGCTCACCTGGAGACCGCTGGAAGCACTGTGAGAATCATGTTCTTTGATTTCTCCGGTTCGAGCCCCGGCTTGGACAGTCTCGGTCGTTGTGTCCTTGGGCAAGACACTTCACCTGTTGCCTACTGGTGGTGGTCAAGGCCCGTGGGTGTCGGCAGCCTCGCCTCTGTCAGTGCGCCCCAGGGTGGCTGTGGCTACAATGTAGCTTGCCATCACCAGTGTGTGAATGTGTGTGAATGGGTGGATGACTGGATATGTAAAGCGCTTTGGGGTCCTTAGGGACTAGTAAAGCGCTATATAAATACAGGCTACCATTTACTTTCTCCAGTGCCTTCAACACTATTCTTCCCTCGGTTCTGAAGGACAAGCTGGAGAACTCTGGAGTGGACCATCACCTCACTACCTGGATTTTGGACTACCTCACCGACCGACCACAGTATGTGAGAGACTCAGGGCTGTGTGTCGGACAGGGTCGTCTGCAGTACGGGGGCCCCACAGGGAACGGTTCTGGCTCCGTTCCTCTTCACCATCTACACTGCAGACTTCTCCCACAACTCCACCCAGTGCTTCCTGCAGAAGTTCTCTGATGACTCTGCAATAGTCGGCCTCATCACTGATGGGGACGACAAGGAGTACAGAGGACTGACTCAAGACTTTGTGGACTGGTGCCAGCTGAACTACCTCCAGATCAACGCCAGTAAAACCAAGGAGCTGGTGGTAGACTTCCGCAGGCACAAGCATTCTCCACTGCAACCACTGAACATCCAAGGTATGGACATTGAGGCTGTGGACAGCTACAGGTACCTTGGTGTTCATCTGAACAACAGACTGGACTGGACTCATAACTCAGACGCCCTCTACAGGAAAGGGCAGAGCAGGCTGTACCTGCTGCGGAGACTCAGGTCGTTTGGAGTGGAGGGCCCACTCCTGAAGACCTTCTATGACTCTGTGGTGGCTTCTGCTATCTTTTATGGCTGTGGTCTGCTGGGGCGGCAGCATCTCTGCTGGGGACAGGAAGAGACTGAACAGGGTGATCCGAAGGGCCAGCTCTGTTCTAGGATGCCCTCTGGACCCAGTGGAGGTGGTGAGTGACAGGAGAATGGTGGCTAAGCTGTCATCCCTGTTGGACAACATCTCCCACCCCATGCAGCAGACTGTGACAGCACTGAGCAGCTCCTTCAGTGGGAGACTGCGGCACCCACGGTGTGGGACGGAGAGATTTCGCAGGTCTTTCCTCCCCACTGCTGTCAGACTCCACAACAAAGACTTTAACTGAATCAAACACACACATCCACACATGTGCAATAACACTAAGTGCAATAATCTTTTCTGGCATCGTTGTATTTTTACTCAGTTGTATATAGCATTTGTATTCTATTTTTATCTTATTGTATATTTTATTCTATTTTATTCTACTGTATATAGTATTTATTTTATTCTATTCTGTACAGTTGTGTACTGTATTTATTCTTATTGTATTCTAATTTTTGCGTTCATAACTTTTGCACTGTCCACTTCCTGCTGTGACAAAACAAATTTCCCACGTGTGGGACTAATAAAGGTTATCTTATCTTATCTTATCTTATCTTACCAAGACAAGACCAAGTAAAAGTGGTCTCGAGACCAAGACCGGTCTTGAATGGTAAATGATAAATGGCCTGTATTTGTATAGCGCTTTTACTAGTCCCACCTAGGGACCCCAAAGCGCTTTACACACCCAGTCATCCACCCATTCACACACACATTCACACACTGGTGGAGCAGCTACTGTAGACAGCTGCCCTGGGGCAGACTGACAGAAGCGAGGCTGCCATATCGCCTGGCCAACACCAGTAGGCGGTAGGTGAAGTGTCTTGCCCAAGGACACAACGACCGAGACCGTCCGAGCCGGGGCTCGAACCGGCAACCTTCCGATTACAAAGCGAACTCCCAACTCTTGAGCCACGATCGGGCGACACCGGCGGTTGCCCAGGGCAGCATCGTGGTGGGGGGCAGCATCATGGGCATCGGCAAAAAAAAAATTGCTCGTACTCATGCTCCCGACGTCATGCCAGCGCATATTGGGATATAGGCATAGGCACCAATCGGTTTTCTATCGCCCATTTGCTGGGAGTAAGGGCCCTCCGTTTGCGAGGTGCGCCTGCTGCTTGCGGCACAGGAGGAGAGGGCGGCGGGGGGGATTCTCTGGCTGGCTGGAGCGCTCTAATAACCAACTCGCAAAATAAAACAAAATAAAAACAAAACAACAAACACGAAAACACCAGACATTATGATACAGAATTTGCGCCGATGTTTTTTCAAAATTCTATACGCGAAAAGTGAGCGTGAGGTAAATCCAAGCCCATTATGTATTCATGATTTGAATCCTGGGTTGTGTGAAATCCCAGAAATACACCTTAGACAAAGTGAATCTGTGAACTAGGGTGTAGGTCTATTAGGTTATGTTGTGGTGATCCTCGAGTTGGGGGATTTGTGTTCATACTGGAGTGCAAAATTAAAACCAATGGAAGATGGACAAGAAAAGTTCAAAGCCATCAGGTGCTCAGTTTGAAAAGAGAAAAGAAGAGGAGGAGAAACGAGCAAAAGATACAGGTAAGCAGATGTGTCATTGGATAATGGCAGGTCATCCTGAAACAATCAGAATCAGAATACTTTATTAATCCCTAAGGAAATTATGTGGGTTACAGTTGCTCCAAAAAGAAATGGTAAAAATAGTAACAGTAACAGACTAAACTCCAAACAATACATTATGTTACAGATTTTAATATTAATTAGTCATTGTCAATTGTTGATTTGTCCTGTTCTCATTGTATGATGAATTATGATGGCTGTTTGGTAGCCGTTTGCATACTATGCATACTCTCTCTCTCTTCATCATGTGTGTGTGTGTTTCTCTGGTGAAATTCAGTACTGGTTCCGCAACAGTTTTATGTTAATGTACAATCCTTAATATGTTTTATGTGTGTGGGGCACCAGAGGGAGTGTTCGCCCGGGGCGCCAAAAAGGCTAGGACCGCCACTGGTTACATGACACGTGTGTATAACCTTTCATAAATGTAGCTGTGTGTCATGGTCCGCGGTGGGTGGCTGGGATTTCCATGAGGCTCCTGAACATACCTGGGATCCGCCCCTGGGCAGGGCCACCTCCTCCAGTTCCTGCAGTTTCTGGATTCACCTTGGCTCACGCTCTACTCTCGGACTCAGGATACCAAGCCACCATTCTGGAAATCACTCTGTGTGCCTCGCCTGCCTGCCCTCCTGCCATCACACTCCATCTCTAACCTCCGGATCTCAGGTCAGCCTCTCCACGCCACTCAGCTCACCCTGGATCCCCGTCGCCCTCCTGTCATCGCTCTGTTTCTCCTCCTGTAATGTGACTGCTTACTGCCCAGTTCCAGTCTGCATCTCAGGCCCCGTTCCCTCTCTCTAATAATAATAATAATAATGATAATAATAATAATAATAATGGATTGCATTTATATAGCGCTTTTCGGGAACCCTCAAAGCGCTTTACAATACCACTATTCATTCACTCTCACATTCAACACTGGTGGAGGCAGCTACAGTTGTGCCACAGCTGCCCTGGGGCAGACTGACAGAGGCTGCCATATCGCGCCATCGGCCCCTCTGGCCATCACCAGTAGGCGGTAGGTGAAGTGTCTTGCCCAAGGACACAGCGACCGAGACTGTCCGAGCTGGGGCTCGAACCGGCAACCTTCCTTCCAGTTCTGTGTTACCCAGGACATGCCACACCAAGCTCTACGTTTCATTGCTTTTGTCCTTGCCACATTTCCAAACTCTAAGCCTAACCAATACAATATTGTTAAATGCTGTCTCTGTTCTGGGTTTCTGCGCCTGAGTCCAGTTTCGGTTCACGCCACTCGGTCCGGTGACACTGTGTATACGTTCTCTTTTTCTACTTTGTTCAGACAGTTCCCATGACTGCAAGGAGTCTCTGAGCTCATCTTTCCATAAGGCTTCCTCATCCTTTTTGTTACTTTTTATTTCTCTTCCCGTTCGTCTGCTGTTGATTTTCCGCTCTCAACCTTATTCTCCTTCCTCGTCTCAGACACTCCATCTTACTATCTGATTCTCTCTGTGCACAAACATTTCCTTCATCTACCCCCTTCCTTTCTTTTCAACCCAGCCCCTTTGTTCTCTCTCATCTCTAATAACTAGAATCTCTTTATTATCTGAAAGTTATCACAGGTTTTACACTTTTGATCTGATACAAACTAAGATCTCAGAGCACCATGTTTCTTTATTATCCTGCAACATCTTCACATAATGCCTTTTTTTTAAATCAAAACTTCCCACACACCAACAGATGATTTGATACTGCAATCAGCTAGAGTCCTTTGAAATGTTGGTGTTATTTCACGGAGAAATGCCATCTGATGTTTAATATTTATATAAAGTTTCTCTTAATTAAAGTAGTGTTGTTCTCTGAGTTACTTTGCGGTTGCATATATAAACATATACACCATATTCACACAAAAATCATGGCAAACTGGTTTCTTGAGCACAACAATGAAATCGGTGTACCGGTACTCAAGTGACCTCCACTGTCAACCGATCTCAG